CTCACAGCAATGATGACAGCATGTACAAGTCCCATGTAAGCTCAAGCCAGATGAAATCCAAGCACAGACATGGGGAAGGGGTAAAAAATCTTAATCCAACCTAGGAAACTTTTGGCAACTGATGGCTGCAGGGAGGGGGACAGACAGTATCATACAGGGATGGAACTCTTGGTAGGTTGACCAGGTTCCAGTGGATGGACCCATGGTGAGGGACATGTGGGGATGCAAATCAGATTCTATAGGCCATATTGCAGATATAGTAGAGTACATTGAATTGGGAGGGGAATGTGGGAGGAGGTATGAATGGAAGAGGGGATCTAAATATCATCAAATTATATTGTATGAAAATCTCAAAAACAAAACCAAAAAACAGAATAGCAAGTAGAAATATACAGAAGGTATGTGGGTACATGCCTATAATCCCAGAACTCAGGAGGCTGAGGCAGGAGAACTAAGAGTTGCCAGAGTTCCTATAGTGGGAACGTGCTTCAAAAAATAGCTCAGTCTAAGCATGATAAAAATAAAACCAGACGAACACAATTGGAGAACAGTCTGCAGAATACCTGGCTAGTACTCCTCGAGACCGTCAAGGTCATGAAAAATAAGAAAAGACTAAGACACCATCACAGACATCACACTGAAGTGCGTTGTGGTCTCCTGCATTGAGTCCTGGAACGAAAAAGAACAATAGTGGAAAACTGTTGAAATCCAACTAAAATCTGGGTTTTAGTAAATAGTAATATACCAACATCACTCTCTTAGTTTTGACAAACACACTTGGAAAATGTTAATTCATGGAAACTTGGTGAGAGATATGTGTGAATTCTCTGCAGTATCTTTAATTTTTTTTTCTACAAAACTAAAATATTCCAAAATAAAAACTTTTTCAAAAGAGGAAGCAGAAAAAGCAGGCAGTCTGATGCGGTTTGTAGGCTTGAAGCTGGCATTTATCATAGCTGAGTGGATATGGACAATTGTTTCTTTGAGCTCTGGTCCACCTATTATGTATGGAGAAAATTGCCTACTGCAGAGGGGTATATATCACAACAATAATGACATAGATTTACTTAACATTATTGCTGGCACAATGTAAACATCGTTAATTTAGTTTGAATGTGCTTCTTTCCAGTTTCCTCAAAGGCAACTAAGAATTTTGCAAAACAAAATGTAGATTTATGAAAAAAGTGAAAAATTAACCATCCTTGTTCAATTCTAGATTCAGCATAAAGGAGCTGTTATGTGGATCTGGAAACGGTGAGTGATGTGAGATTTGGGGTCGTCGCTCTCATTTTCTGTGTGGTTACTGGATCATTTCCTAAGAGTAGGTGTAATGAGAAGATGCAAGATTTTGAAGCAACTTCATATTCTAGCTCTGACTGCCACAGACACTCAACTTACAAATGTCCATTGTAAGACACGGAAATTCTTTCATTTGGGCTGCTTAGAAAAACAATCTGGCAGAGAACTCAAAATGGTCTGTGCTTGGCTTCTATCCAAAGGCAAATTATTTTAGTATGAAAGTCTAAGGAAAATAATTTAACCACAAGCTATGTGAGTAGGAAAGGAAAAATAACCAAAGAATAAAGAAAAGCATACTCTGGCTTTTTCACATATAAAATTTTTTTTTGGGTGTTAAACTGCAGCACAGATGTATAACCTGATCTAAAAGTTAAAGTCTAAATAACAAAAGCAAAATAAATAATTCAAAATCTAAAACACTATTCTGAGATATTATATTAAAGTACAGTAGAAGACTGTGGATGGGCATAACTGAAACCTACTACTTACTGTCACCAGCCCTAGCATTAGGGCTTGCTATGTGACTTTTCCTGGGGTGTCTATTTCTATTCACCCTGGACACAGAGGGTAATAAGAGAGCAAATAATGAATTCCATCTAAGTCTGGCCTGGTGAATCAATGAGTCTACTGGGGTTACTTATGGGAGCATGGCTGACTTGGGTAACTACATCACCAGAAAGACCCCACCCCATGCATGGGTGATAACTCATGAAACCTGATCACCGGAGTTCCTTGTACAACTTTCAGGCAGCTACACCACTAAAAAGTCTCCTCTCTCACAGCAGTTTATTGCCCAAATGATAAGGGCCTTGTGAGTTTCATGAGCTTTCTCCCTCCCTCCATGAGGGAATGAGTTAATCTGAAGGAAACAGCTATACCACAAGGCTTGAGTTCAAATCTCCTTGAAGAATATAGACTACCTAACATAAATCACCTAGCTTCAATTTCCTCATTCTAAAACCTGAGGTAATAGCTATATGACAAGACCCTACGGAGTTAATACAAAAAAAGATTAGATGAGGTAATACATGTGGAGACTGTCCACACAAAGCTAACACACAGGAGAACAGGAGGCAATGAAGAAACACAATGATGGCTCAGTGGTTTACTGCTCTTGCAGAGGACCTGAGTTCGAAGCCTGTAACTCCATCTCCACTGTATCTGACACCCTCTTCTGGCCACTGCAGTCACCAACACTTATCTGCAAATACCCACATACCTAAACATACCTAAACATCATTCAAAACAAATTAAAAAGCAAGGAACAGCAGCAGAGTTTAATGCTAAACATAAATACCATCGATAATGGCCAAATATGTGATTTCATTGAAGAGTGAGTGATCTTGTTGACAGAAAATTTTTTCATTTGAAAATTTATAGAATAATACTGAAACTGTATACTATAAAGAGTTAAACTGAGGGTTAAACATATGGTACTGATTAACTTCAGATTCTTTCTGGCGGCCAAATTCGACCTTACTTGCTAGTGTGATACTTTTTGGAAGCAGAGAGAAGGAAGGGTGTGGACCAAATATCATTAATTAGAGCAGCAAATTCATCTTTGGGGTGTGAGCCTGATTAGCCGATTAGAGTCAAAATAATTCACAACAACAAAGTGTTTATCCAGGGAATGAACATTTGCATGCAAATAAATTTTCTATTGTAATTAATTTATTCTGTGAGTGATAAATTTCAGTGTTTTTAGGTAAAAACTAAAAGCAAAATACTTTATCTGTTTGCTGCTCCAGATTACAAATACATGTCTTATCTCCCTTGAATGAATAGCCCTGAGTTACAGAAGCTGGCATCTACTAGATGTTCAGTAAATGCTTATTAAAGTGAAGCCTCTGACTCATATTCCTGACCTTAAGTAGAGGTAACAGAAGGGATCAATCTTATCTTTGAGTCTGCACTCATTATTCTGAGCATAACAACTGTGTATCATTTCATGTGCATGGGGCCCGCTGAGGCAATTTGCTTTCATAAAACGGTTTCAGATGTGATCTTTTAATTTTTTCAGCTTGCTTTTTAAGCTTTCTATGCCCTCTCTTGTTGAAAAGGCATCAGCCATTGTGATCAGCCATCCGTATATTTTATCCTTTGGAGGTTTGCTCTTTTCTCACCTATTGTACACTGGGAAACCAGAAAGCCAATTGATTAGAATCATGCCTAAAAATAAGAGTATATAAGGTTTACGCAAGGGACATCAGAATTAGTATCTCAACTCAAATCTTCAGGTTGCAAATGCACCCCTTCTCCATCACACCATACAGTAGCAGAGGATGCTGATTACTTATTGAGGAACAGTGAGTTAGTTTCATTTGTATATTGCTACCTGTGCTTACAAAGGGATTATCTTTATTTCCTTAAGGAGGGATAGGCACTCCCCCACCAGGATCCCATTTTGAGGAGCTATTTTCAATTATTTGTTTACCTTAATATAATATATTCCTTCTTCTGTTCAAATATCTTAAAATTCAGACACTGCTAATCTGCCAACCCAAGTTCCTGAGGTTTTACCAGATGGGCTTCATCTGACCCCAAGCTCCTTCCCTCAGAGAATTTTTCCATCAGACTGTGAGGTTTCTCATGCTTGTGATTTGTCCAAGCTCCTGACCAGGCATGGCCTCCTCTGGAGTGAGGTCTGGGTTAAGATCCAGGGGTCAGTTGATCGTGGGGAACTCTTCATTCAAGGGCTCAGACCATAACATTTCTGCGTTGAGTCCAGATCAGAAAATAAAAACCATCTATTTGCGCTATCTCCAGATCTCTCCATGATGATTTTTTGGGGAAATTGTTTGCCTACTTGATATATTCATTTTCCATCCTAACACAATGTTCTTTGAAGTTACTAAGAGAAGAAAATCACTTTCAGCAATTTCAATCCAAGTCTGAAGCCAATGGAAAGAAAACATTGCTTTTATTGGCACAGAATCCATTAGAATTCTAATGAAGGTTAATTGCACCATTAAAACAACAACAACAACAACAACAACAACAACAAAAACCTCTCCTCTTGCAGTTGTCTTAGCTAATTTATAAGCATGATTCTCAGAATTCTTAAACAAAAGTGTAGAACTTTGAATTACTGACACTTGGCTTGAAAATTTCCCTTGAGTAATCAACAGGCTGGGGCTGGTGTTATCACTTTAGAAAGACTTTATTTATGTGTTTTTTTTTTTGGCAAGGTCTCCCTGTGGAGCACAAGGTGTTTGAAAAAAACTTTCTGTGACCTTCCCACTGCTGTCCCCCAAGTGCTAGGATTCTGTGTGGCCACCCCGACTGGGTCTTCAAAGTGCTTTGGAACCCAGCACTCTCCCCCCTTCTTTCCTTTCCCTTCTCTTTCTTCCCGTCTTCATTCTTTCCTTCTTTTATAACAAATTCCCAAACTTTAAACTTTTTCTTATAAATAGGATTGTATCTAAATTCCCACTGACCTAAAACTCAAGTTAATAACAAAGACCTAGAGGGTTTTCTGAACAAGTAACATTCAAATCATAATTGTAATTTAGATTAAAAATGGATGGGAGAGAGAAGGAAGGTCAGCGTGAGAAATAAAAATATTTGTTGAATGAATTTTTTAAAATATATAAACACACCCCAGGTTGGTATCAAAGCTCACGACACTCCTGCCTCAGCCTCCCAACTGCTGGGATGACAGATGTGCACCACCATGCCCAGCTCTTTGAATGAACTTTTTCCCTGCCTCAGAACATGGTCTATTTCATGGTTAACCCAAGCCTGTCCTAAGACTGTTATCACTACAGTCGAATGAACTTTCATATAAACAAAAATGAATCTTTAAAGCAGAAAATGAAAAACTTTCCCCTTAAAAAGAGTTGTACATTTTTAAAGCTCACAGGCACTTTTTGGATAATGTAGTCTAGAGATGATAAGAAAATTTCAAATTGGAAATCAGCTTCAGGCAATGGGTGGTGGATGTCTGGGGTGCTGTGTTACATATTAGATTGAGTCATCAAGGTTCACTGAGGCATGTAAGGATTGATTAATGATGTCTGCCTTGGTCAGGGGATGATAGGGGAGTTGCAGGATTTGTAGAAGGACATGTGTGAAAGAACATGTTCCAGGTGCTTATCACTCATCTGTTCCAACCTGCAACTTGATAAAGGAGAGATCTTAGGAGATAGAGAAGTTATGTGTCTGCCAATGGTCATACAGAAGTTTGTGACAGCTAGAATTAAAATTCAGCAGTTCTGGCTCTCATTTTAGACTCTCCTACCAATGGGAGTCATTAAGAAACACATGTTTATTTTTAAAACTAACAACTTTTGATGAGTTTTTGAGAATATAGTTCCTGAAAGTACAACTCAGAGATATACAAACTATATTAAGTGGTCTTATTGTCAGTTTTACATCACAGAGCACTGATTAGTAATGCAAAGAAATAGCATGTCAATATTAGTTTTAAAAAAACTGGTTCAGATGTTCCTTGAGTGATGTATTTCAGATGTTGGGGGAGTAGGGTGGCTTCTCTTTTGTCCATAGCTTAGATTTGTTCCTACTGTTAAAACTTTCCCTCCAAAAATGGTCTGGCACATGCTCATGCATGAACAACTTTTATTTGTATTTGTTTTCAATATTTTCATGGTGTTATAGAAAATTAAAATGACAAAATTTGAAAAAACTAAAATTACTAAAAAGAAAAAAGAAATATATACTTCCTAGCCATAGTAGACAGATAAGTTATCATTGGACAAAGATTCAAAGAACAAAATACCATATCTGGCAACATCTACAAAGTCATGGGGTACATAAAATAGAAGATTGCTACACACACAGTGTGCTCATGAGATGGGAATTCCTAACAGTATTTGTTGAAGCACAGGCCTTCTCATAGATCTGACAGATTTCCAATTCATTTAAGGTGAGATCTCAGTCAATTATGGTGTGCTATACCTTCAATGACAGCATTTGGAAGACCAAGGTAGAAGGATAAAGACCAGCCTGGGACATACAGTGAGACCTTATCTCAAAAAAAAAAAAAAAAAAAAAAAAAAAAAACAACAAGCAAATAAATAGACACATACAAAAAAAGGCCTCATTTTGAAATGCAGAAAATAGGGCCCAGCGTGACATGGAACTCACTAAGTAGCCCAGACTGGCTTCAAACTTATGAACCTCTTGCTTCGGCCTCCCAAATCTTGGGATTGCAGGTGTGTGTCATGATACTTGGCAGAAACTGGAATTTTCATTTGAACTTGGGAAGTGTGGGGGAGCCATAGAGAAATTGTGGAAGTAGAAGTTGGCTTATTGGCAGTAAGAGAGAAACTAGAGGATTCCGAGGGCTTCCAGACTTCAGTTCCCGTATTTCCTTGGGCCTTTCTGAAATCTACTACCTGGGCCTGTTAAACACCTCTACAATCTTCTGTTTGCTACTTTTCTTGAGATCAAGAGGGTTAGCACTTTCATTTACAATGCTATGACATTCATAGATTGACTTGCCAATACACCACAATACACAGAACCTACTAGAACTCCAGTAGGCTTACCGTGTAAACAGCTTTGAGACCAGTCCTCTATTCTCTCCCCTCTCAATGCTCTGTTTAACCAGATTATTGGAACTGCTAGTGTTCATTAGAACACCAGAGACATCCAGTTACAGGAAAACGCCTAAAATCAATTTCACTCATTTTAAAGATTTATTTATTTCTATTTTATGTTTACATTCGCCTACATGTATGCATGCATACCATGTACATGCTTAGTGCCCACAGAAGCCAGAAGCAGGTACCAGATCACCTGGAACTGGAGTTACAGACAGTAGAGAGCCAACATGTGGGTTTTGGGAACTGAACCTGGGTCCTTTGGAAGAGCAGCAAGTGCTTTCACCTGCTGAGTCATCTCTCTAGCCCCATTTTCATTGGTTTTAAAATAAACTAGGTGGAAAAGTTAGCTTGGGATACTGACTCCTGAGATTTCATTAGCTGGTTGGAGGTTTTCTGAATGAATGTGTTTGTGACACCACTCTGCTGTTACCTATGTCCTTCTGATGCCTTTGAGCTTCTACTCTGGATCAGTGGACGAGAAAGAACAAATGGGCTCCTCTGAGGACCAGGCTGTGCAGTGCCTTGTGACTTTATTCTGAGAGAAATAGTATTATAAAAGGGGCAGAGAAAAGAGAAGCGTCATGTAGTCCTGTTAATATCTGGCCCTGTGGTTGAGTGATAAGGCAGGACATAGGAAATGACATCTAAGGAACAAGGACATTGCTCTGAAGTGATGGGGTGCCATTTAATAATGTCCAAGTTTGCTAGAAGGAATACTTACCTTTTTACAGTATTTTAAACAAAATACTTTTCTTTAGTATGTCCATGGAAGGAAATCTAAATACTTGAACAGCATTTGGGACAATAGCCCTTGCCCCAATCCCTATCCCCATGTCAAACTCCTCACTAGACTCTCCCTGTAGTTAACACAATGTGTATAGGAAAGTTTTGTTCAGAGCTGAGCTCTCTGGGTTTGGCGACTAGAGAGTACAATGATTTTTTTCACGCAGCATGGCCAAAGAATAGAGATGTGTGGAAGATCACATTTTCTGGATAACCTGAAAACCATAAGAAACATCTCATTTGTTCAAAATGTAGAGAACAGGAATGAATTTCCGTGCCTTGTATACCTCACTGTAGCCAACTGGCAAAGCTCTACTTTACCAGTTCATGACTGGGCAGAATATGGCCTTTGAGATCAAACAGATTGGAGTGTGAATCTCAGCTCTGATCAGTAGCTGTTGCTTTAAGTTTCCTATGATACAGATTCGTTTTCCATTTATTAGCCATTCAGCATACATTTATTAAGAGCCTCCTATCTGCCAGACCTTGAGGCAGGCCCAGAGGAGCCAATGGTCCGCAGAAAAAGAGCCAGTCCTTACCCTCATAAAGCCAGTGTATTGTGTAAGCAAGAGAGGCACTGGACTGGATTCACCAGGAAAATGCAAGCTGAAGGCAGTGTAGTGCTGTCTTACAAGCACAGAGCCTGGAGTGAGACTGTCTGGGTTCAGGGTCTCGTTCTACTTTCTGGCTGAGCGTCCCATTGAGTAAGTTATTTCACTCATCTCTGTATTAGTTTCATTACCTGTGGAGTGAGGATAATATGTCACGCTCCACTGTGTTTTTGTGAAGCTTAAATGTTGAAAATTACATAGAGTTGCCCTGGCACATAGTTTTAGTATTTAATATTTAGTATTTGATGGAGGCACAATACATAGCACAATAAAGATGTGATGGAGGGTACTGATTGCATCAGAAGGATCGGGGACATCTCCCTGTACTAGCTATTAAATTATTCACTTTTTTGGTATAAACTTACTCTTTCACCTGGGTTGAATGTTGGAACTGCAAATGACAATTCTGCTTTGCAAACTGCCTTTCCGCTCAGCTTGAAGGAGAAAGAAGAGAGGAGGAACTTGTTCCTTCCTACTTTCTGGGTGATTTCTGTGACTTTCTGTGACCACACCCGGACAGAGCTTCTTCACTGGGCAGCAGCAGATCATTCCTAAGAAAAATCTCAGGCGAGTATGCTGTTTTCCCACTAGTAGTAAATTTTATCATACCCTCCCTTGGCTGAGCCCCCTCCTCAGACCACGGGCTCAGGACTCGGCCTTTTCTCCAGCTTTCCACATTTTCATAATTCTAATTCTTGATCCTTAGAAATAGCAGCTGCTTCCTATAATTGCCACCTCATGAAACCTTAGAGGAAAGGTCTTAGCTTTTCATCTAATGGGCCAGACAGTAAATATTTCAAACTTTGTGAGCCACATGCTGTCTTTGCTGCTTTTTTATCTGACAGTCTTTACAAAGGTAAAACAAACAAACAAAACAAAACCATTCTTAGCTCACCAAACAGAAACAGGCTGTGAACTGGATTTGGCTTACAGTTCACAGTTTGTACATCCCAGCTTGGAGTTTTCTTTTCTCCTTCTGTTACATAGATAATACCTTTTAAAAATAATTTAACACATTGTTAAATCATTATTAAATAATGAAGACACTTATTTAATAAGTCATTAGATTATGAACCTTCTATATGGTATGGTTTCTGGCTCCTCTCCAGACTCTGACAGATGTACTAGTAAACTGAAGCATAATCAGGTGCTAAGTAGGTTCAGGGCTACTGGGAATTCATAGGGAGGTGGGATAAGGGTGTTCCAGAAGAGGGAGGAAGGTGTATACATGTCAGTGAGCGGGAATGAGGCTGACTGTACAACATCTATGATCAGAGTAGAAAGAACCATAAAGCCCATGCAAGATTTGAAGGCCGTGTTGTGCATTCAGTTTTCTGTTTTCAAATTTAGACAGAGTACAGGCTCATGTTCATATTTTGAAAATACCTTCTTGGGTAAAATAGAGTTACAAGGATTAAGTGGTGTAACATTTACAAAATGACTTACAAAAACCAACAGATTCTCAATCAATCTCAATTTCCCCATTTGTATTCCCTTTTGGTAACCATGGGGCTCTGTGCTGGATGTCTGACAACACTGCAACCAATCTGCTTGCCCTTAGTGGTGGTCAACTTTGGAAGGATGATTTTTTCAAACAGTGAAAAATCTCTCTGACCATGTGAAAACAGATATTAAGTACAATTCTTTTATTCTTGCACTGTCTGACCACAAATACAGTTTTTCAATCAAATGCACAGTGACCTGAGCAAGGTTCTAAGAATTATGTTCATGGCCACTTGGCAAATACATCCTTGGCAGCTTTTCTGCTGACTTGGGAAGTCTCACCCCCTCTCCTCACTCTGAAGG